ATCCATAAGTACCGTCTGGTTTCATATAATGCTTCATTATAGTCATCAGCTTCAATCTCATCCACCTCTTTTTCATGATTTTCATGCATGTTAACATTAGACATTATATATATGGAAGTACCTAAACATAGAAGGAACAAAAATTAAATATATAGGCAAAGATAATTATAATGTCATATAAATGAATATCAAATTAATAAAATATAAAAAACATACGATCAATAAATCAAACAAAAAATAATTCAAAAAATTCAAAAATTACTACCAATCATGTCCAAATAACAAAGCATCAATTTAATTTAAATGTAATTTATTTAGAACGTTCTTCGGGTGTCATGCTCAAGAACTCAGACTTTTTTACTTTTGTATTAAGCAAATCAAAGACCTTGAAACGATCATCATCATCCAAGTTTGGGATCTCCTTGATAATGTTCCAACAATTAGGCTCTCTACTATCAGTTGATTTAATTGCTTGAGTGATCTTGTCAACTGTACTAGCAAGTTTGTCTATAATGTCTGATTGAGTGCTTTTAGGCTCAAACGAACTAGATTTTGCTTCAAATTCTATTCTACTTTGTTTTCGAATTGATGGGGAAACCTCTAAACTTATAGGATCTTGTTTATCAATTATTATATATGTTTTAGTATCAGGATCATACCTGAAGTCATCTATTAAACTGTCACTAACTCTTCTTTCTTATGTATGAAAAGTCCTTGCATCAGTATCATCCCCTAATGCAATTGAGTGTGTCCCAATAGCTGTCCCACTTCCAACTGCAATTCTCAAATCCTCATAGTCTGAAAAAGTGTATGTGCGATAACTTTTATTTTCGGGATGTGACTATTAAAGAAAAATATATATATGAGTGCTAATATATGAAACATACACTTCACTAACCAATAACTCAAATTTCATATGTTTCTAAATCAAGTAATAAAGGAAGCTCATCGTAAAGTAATAGTCACATACTTCATCACTAGCAGTGAATTTCTTCGTCACATGATCCCATCCGAATCCAGAGTTATGATGCATAAGCTTAGAATACTTGTTGTACTGTTTTTTAAACCATTCCACACGACTTTTATACTGGGCATAAATCTTTTCAACCCCAAGTTTTTTGTTAAGATGAGGAAGTATATATTTTTCTACAGTTATCTTGCTCAACAGACCATTACTATCACGCCAACCACATGTGGCAGTATCGACCATGAGTTTTAAAAGCTCATTGCTTTCTTTTGACGTCCATTTCTCATATTTTTCAGTATATTTTCCCTGTATTGAACCTTCCATTAGAACTAGTGTTGTATAATTAGAGAACAAATAATTAGGCAAATACAAAATGAACAACAAAAAGTCTAGCAAACATAACTACTCTATGCACTTCTATTCACATTTTTTTTTTTGGATAATTGAATTGGAATGGTTAATAACATGTTAAAGGCGATTTTAAGAATTGTCCATAAAAATCATACATGGAAACTCCCTTATTTCAAGGTTTTTAATGATTTTATTTTTTTCTTCGTTCACATGTTGGTATACGATTAATGTGGTAATATCAAACTCTAGATTGACGTTTAATCACACAAATTGTTAATGATATAGTACAAGATTTATCGAGCGTGGGTAAGTAGGAATTAAGTACACGTTAAGTTAAAAAATCCAAGGATCCAAAAGCTCTAGCATATGATTTGAAAGGTTGAAGAAATGTCTTCGCATTGATGCTTGCACAAGTCCACGCAATTATCCTCTAACAAATTGTAGCCATAAACAAAAAACTCATAGAGGGAGAGATAGTTACCTGATTGAAGGAGATGGAGGAGAAAACCCTAGAAGGAAAAAGAACGGCTTCTATGAGAAATCTCTCGATGGATGAGAGATTTTCTTGTGAGAATTCTATATATGTTTTCTACCAAAAAGTCTCTGAAAGTCTAATAAATTATAAATTTCCCAAAAGTCTTTCTCAATTGAATATCTCTAAACTTGTAAAGACTCCTAAAAAGTTTAAATTAAATATCCCGTGACTCGTAGAGACTTTTTAAAAGTCTATAAAAATATCTATTGAATATATCCAGATTTTTAGAGAGTCTTTAAAAGTTTCAATTGAATACAGTGTATTTCTTCTTTCCACGAGACAGAATAATATTCTTTAAAAACGATATGTTCATCCTAGTCGAATGTCCTTAGCTAATAAATTTCCATGTAAAAGGATAAGTTGATGCTAACGGGCTACAACTTTGCACACATATATTGATTTGGCATTGACACGAGTTTTATGGTGGAATTTACGTCGAAAGCTGATGAACTCCCAGATAGCCAAAAATAGGGGGTTGCGCCATAAATTTCGGCAATGTTATTTGACAAGAGGTAACTTGAAATTCTCAAATCTATATAATTTCAAGTGTGTATATTCGTTATGATGGAATATGATAATTCTCTGTAAGAGAATAGTGGTTGTTGGTAAAAGAAGAGTTCATCGGATTTTTCTCGAAGGCACGATCAAGAATGCTAGATGAGATGGTAGAAAGTATTGGCCCAATTATTTGCCAACGTGAAGATTTGTTGGGGAATTGGCTCATAAGCATTCAAAACTGCATCTAGTAAGTAAAAGAAAATGGCTCATATGAGACCATGAATGCGTTTAATGTTAGGCAATAAAGTTGACAATCTACATAGGCTTGGAATAGTATTCCACCTTGATTTAAAGACTATATATTGCATGCATCCTTTTTACAATCCTTATTTTGTTTTAAGATTCACATGTTAAGAATATGCAAATTGTTGAGCAAGAAGTACCATAAATAGAGGTGCTTGCTTATTGACAAAACACATCAAGCGAGGGAGAGAAATCTAAGTGTAGCATTCAAAAGCTTTATTTGATGATTGTTTCGAAGAATATAATCATTTAAGTGCAGTAAAGATTAGTTAGTGTTTTTAAGTTAAAATTAACGTTCATCGTGTGAGAAATACTATATGATTTCAACACATTTTCATATTGTAAGAAATCTTTATCTTTTATAGAGTACGAGTTTTCTCTCACATAAGCCCTTGTGTTGTTTTTCTTGTATACTTATCTGTTTTTCTCGAAAATTGGTCAAAGCTTCTAACAAATTAGAAATCGACTGAATGAAATAGACACAATCATTTAAGTCAAATGACAGACTTGTACGATAGACATACTGAATAGATAGATCTCACATAAGTGCACGCTATTTCCACCTTCTTCATTATCATTTATCACCAGCATTTTACTGAGTAGCGAGGCAAAGCCGATGGTGCAACAAATATTTTCACATAAAAATAAAAATGTTTTATCAAAATGTTTCCTATATTTTCACACACACACACGAAAATATATTTGTACAGGAGGTTATATAGCACATGAAATCCCTAAAATTGTCCCTGCTCAAAATTACGTAGAGTTGTGTGATTGCATATTGAAAAATTAATTTTTAAAAGAGTTCTCTGTTTCGAAAGAACTTTAAGAGAGATGTATTGGATCAATTTTCTCTAAAATCTATTTTAACTAAAAGAAAATTTTTAATAAAATTAGTTAAAGGGTTCCAAAAGTAGCTTTTGAGCCCCCAAATCTCTTTGTAATCTCGAAAACTATGTCAAGCAAGCCATAAGTATTGAAGCTGGAATTGAGCTCAAAACTAGAAAAACTTACAGATATTGCTAATACAATCTATGGAATTCTTCGACAATAAGTCAATTGAGTCTAATCTTCTTTCCCTATTCTCCATGCTCCCATTTGATGGATAGAGCGGGGAATATATAGCCTATATATGGCCATCATTATCTAAAAAACTTAACTTTTTTCCTTATTTTTTATTCACATTTTTCAAAAATTTACTATGCTAAAATATATTTTTCCGAAAATTACATTAAGCCCCTGTTTGGCCCCCATTACCTGAAAATGGTAATGGGGGGAATAGTATTTTTTAGAAAAATGAGTGGTTGAAAAAGAAAGTAAAGTTTTCGATTTACGTGTAATATTATTTTATAGAAGATTGTATGATTGAAAATAGGAGAGAGAAAAATGGAATGTAATGTAATTTAATTTAATGTTAATCAAACAGGGGCTAAAAATGGAACCCAGACAAAAGCATTAGGGGGTGTTCTCTTTGTGTTTCAGTTTTGTGTTTTGAGTTTTGAATTCATTTTGAGTTTTGTATTTTGAGTTTTTGTTTTGAAATTCTTGAAAATGCGTTCTTTTTTTTAGTTTCTAAAAAAAAAAAAAAAATAAATTTTTTTTTTTTTTTGGGGGGATAGGGGGGGGATTCTCAAAATTTAAAAAAAAAAATTAATTTTTTTTTTTAAATTTTGAGAATCCCCCCCCTATCCCCCCAAAAAAAAAAAAAAAAATAAATTTTTTTTTTTTTTTGGGGGGATAGGGGGGGGATTCTCAAAATTTAAAAAAAAAAATTAATTTTTTTTTTTAAATTTTGAGAATCCCCCCCCTATCCCCCCAAAAAAAAAAAAAAAATTTTTTAGAAAATGCATGATTAAAAAGTAAGGCCCTGTTCTCTTTACCGTTTTCGGGTCGTTTTCTGTTTTCGATTTTTCAAAACGGTGAAAACGTGTTCTCTTCCCCGTTTTCGAAAACGAATTTTCGAAAACGTTTTCGAAAATTCGTTTTCGAAAACGGGGAAGAGAACACGTTTTCACCGTTTTGAAAAATCGAAAACAGAAAACGACCCGAAAACGGTAAAGAGAACAGGGCCTTACTTTTTAATCATGCATTTTCTAAAAAAATTTTTTTTTTTTCAAAATTACATTTTAATACGTACAACATATACTGTTGGTCAATACTCACAAAGTGATTGTTAAAAAAAATAAATAAATAAAGATTTTCACTACATGGGAATAATCGTGTAACAAAATCTTCCATAAAACGAAAATAGGATATTCTATTGGCATATTGACTTAAAGGTTTTGCAACCAATAATATCCGAACACGTCACGAGCTCACTAAACCACGAAATATCTGATTATAAAATCCATTTCCACAAAACTCCACGGTTCCTGCAAAGGCACAAAAGCTGCTAAAGTTTATCTTTCTACTTTCTCTCTCTAGGGTTTATTTGCCTCCTCTCATAATGCCTCGCCGTAGCTCTGGTGGTGAGTTTTCCTTTTTTCCTTCTTCATTTTCCGTCAAATATATCAAGATATTTTCCGATCTAAATATTTTGTTCGGTTTTACGCGTTGTATCTGTTTCTGTTTGATTTCGAAGATACTGTAAAGGGTAAATAGGTTCTTTTTCATTTTTGTTTGACTGATTTAGCCTATTTCTCCAGGTTTATATCACTTCCTTGATTGAGATAATATCGGATATAGGGTTTTGAATGCTGTAGTCCTTGGAATGTTTCTGGGTTTTGTAGAATTTAATTGATATATACTGATAAACGTGCGTACGAGTCTTGCTTTTTAGGAATGCTGCCCTGTTAATTATTTATAGTAGCTAAAGGCTCACCCTGAATATTGGTTAATTGAAGGTTATTTTGTGTATTTATGAGCTGGGAGTAGACTTTCGCTAGATATCGATGTCAATACCTTATACCTGATTCTCTTCGTGTATGAGACGTGGGAGTTTACTATTACTTTAAACTGTCATTGTTTAGTCCCCCCCTCCCCCCCCCCCCCCTTTTTTTTTTTCGGTT